CTGAACCACTGAGCTAAATCCCCAGCCCAAACACAAGGTTTTAATGAAATGACTTGGTGTATCAATGAAAAGAATTAGCATAATGTTAGCTTCCTTGCTGTTAATTACTTTTGTGTATCAGAAAGTTGTATTAGGAAGTTAAGGTTTTTAAAAAGCATAATTACAATATTTTGCAAAATTCATGGTTAATTTGGTGAAAAATTCATATAAATCAGCTTGCCTGAAAAGGTTACCCAGGTTAGACAGCACATTCAATTTAGTAGTGATTGGAAATAAAGTTACAGTTTAAATCAGAATTTTTGTTCAGTGATTTATTCATAATGTACATTTTTGGATTCTATTTTCACACAATGAAAACTAATTTTATAGAAACATTCTTAAAACACATTTTTTTGGAGCTCATAGTAAATAAAGTTTGAGAATCTCACACAATACTGAGCTCACATAGCACTAATTGACTGTGGCAGGGCATGGAGAAGTGGAGAATATCTTTGGATTGATTTTAGAAGCCCAGGGTGCTTGTCTGGATTCTGCCTCTTACTGGTTGTTTGATCCTGTATAATCATTTAACCTCCAGGAACATTTATTTTCTTATGTTTACCCATCAGGGAACAGATGTTATGATACACTTAAAAGCACTTTTTATTTGTACGCTGTCATACCAACGTAAGATGACATTTTATTATGATTATAGATATTGTTTAAATAATAATCCAAATGGTCTAAGAGAGTTTTCTTTTTCTACGTAATGTTAAACATTTTCACAAATCACTTAAGTATAAAAACAAAAAATGCATTATAGAAGACGGTTTGGTAGAAAACAAGTAGGGCGGGTTCGCAGTAAATAATATTTTAGGTCTGAGTTGGACCAGAATTTACTGGAGTACATGGAAGAAACAAAGTGGAGCTCAGTAAGTCAACAGTAATATGGGATATGGGTAGAGAAATTAAATTAGGCTGAGAGCAAATGGAAAATGGATGCCTATGCCTGAGTCTACCTAAAACAGTTAAAAAAAGCCATAGAGACAATAAGCTGAACATAAATCAGGCATGGATGCTACTACTGGGGCAGTAAGTTGAGCCCTAGGAAGAACAAGGAACAGTTGGGAATCTAGTTCCTGATCTCATCAAAACCTTATGTTAAAAATAAAATACATAGCCAAGTTTTTGAAGTATCTGTTTTGATCTCTGATCAAATACTAAATACTAAAGGCTAGGGAGGAGAAAACTAAAAGGCCTCCTGTGAATATTTTGCTGCTATTGAAGAGTGAGCCCCAAATCATGTCTTAATGTGACCCAGTCACTTAGGTTATTAATGGTTGCATAAGACAGAGGTCACTGTCAAACCCTCTATGTCTGAAATATCTTGAGCCCTCTTATTATCATTCATTTAACAGGTATTTTACTTTTCAGTGTGCCAGACACCATACTGGGTAGATGCTGGAGGCACAAGAAGGACCAAGACACATGTATTCCTGCCTCAGGAAGCTATGGCCTGCCTGTCCCCTAAGGCATGTATCTATTCTAGAATTTTAACAAAAGTGGCTAAAATTTCCCAACCGTCTCCAAATTGACAGCCCTTTAAAATGTGACTGAAGCTCTTATTACTAGGAAGTAGAGTCTGTTTTTCTACCCCCTTGAATCTAAGTTGACATAGGGACTTTACTTGCCCTGTACAAAGCATGGCAGGGACTTTGCACTAGTTCTGATCCCGAGGTTCTACATGCTTTGTTCTCAGAAACTGTGGTCACCATGAGAGCAACCTGGGTTAACATGGAGAATTAGAGTCTATACAGAGGTAGCCATTCTTGCTGAGGCCATTCTACATGGGCCAGCTGATGGGCAGCTGGTGACTGACTGCACAGCAAGCCCAGCTAGGACAGGTAGCACAGTTTAGGCAGGCCTGGCCCAAATCCCTGATGTATACAGTTATAATTTAAATAAATGTTTGTTTCAAGCCACTAAATTTTGGAATGTTTTGTTATTCGGGTAAAGCTGATGGAGATGCTCCTAATTATGTATGACTCAAAGTTTATTTTGGGTACAGAATTTTTCATATGGCTTATCAAATTACCTTGATAACTGCCACATCATCACTTCACTTTACGCTGTATGGGCATGGCCTCAGCATACAGTTTTCAGAATACAGACACCCTGGGAAGGTTTGATATTGGAACTCTGATCTGCAGAATATGAAGTTGACTAATGTGCTTGTAACATGACATGTATAGTATATTTCATGGACAAAATATAAAGACATAGACATAACATAAACATTTACGACCACCACAAACTTCTAACAAGCAGTCACAAAGTTAATGCAAATCTACTTAGCTTTTTTTCTGACATGATGGCTCTCAATGTTAAACAAACAAACCAGTAAAACAAAAACCCACAACAACAAGCAAAAATCCATTTATCAGATTCAGAATTTGTACAAATAATCAAATAAATCCTATAGATACATCCATGACATCTGATTTTTCCTTCAAATCTAATTATGTTGATGTGTTAATAAAAAGATTAACCCCAGACTCGCAGATTCTTCCAGTTGTCTCTGTGTAACTGCTTTAATTCTAATGATGCCATATCAGTAGAGATTAATGAAAGAGATCTTTTATTTATCTTGATTTTCAAATATGACAGGGTGTCTTTTCCTCTTTTCCTGGCAGAACCTGAGAACCTCTCTTCTGTCCAGCTCTGCCAGCTGGGCATTTGGGAAATGGCCAATTCCAGGGCTAATGTGTTTCTGCTGTTATCTGACACTGATGCTTCATAGACGTGCAATGAAGATAAGACCTACTTGGATGTATTTTTACAGTGAAGCTTTTAGTTACTTAGAAAAGAACTTCTGCAATTAGTTTTCTTTCTGCCCTATCTGGCTGTAGAGGAGCCACATAAATGTGAAGATGCTAGATTTGGAAGGAAGTCAAAGGCTGTGTGGGAGCAACTGAAGGAAAACCATGCTTAACTCAGGAGAAATGCTCTATCAGACAGGCTGGAAATTGTGTTTCCTTGAGAATGAGGCCAGTGAGGATGAATGAGGGAGTCAGATGTGACAAGAGGCCCAAGGGTGGCCAGAGTACGCCATCAAGCAGCCACACCCTAAAAAGCCCTGAAGAGAGAAAAGGTGTTGCTGGGCATGGAGGGAGAAAGAGCCAATACTTTTTAATGGCTGCTATTTCTATTCAATGGAAATACTGTATGCCAATGGAAATGGTTTTAATACCAGTTTAGGACTGAGAGTGTTAAACTGTATTCTTTAATATGCTATCCCCAGGTTGGAAAAAAATTTATTTAAATCCCTACCCTTTTAAAATGACTCACCAGAGTTTGTTAGCCACTAAAAGGAAAAGCTGCTTAGTAAAAGGAATAGGTTTAGTAGTCATGATGTGGAAAAAAAAATTAGAGAAAAGAAGCAGCACAGAAAACCATTTGTATCTGGCTTTTATTTCTGAGATGGAATCAGAAGTGAGACATAATAACTGCATAATTTCCTTTTGGCTGAAAGTAGATCTGCCATCATTACCGCATGCTCTCTAGGAGTGCCAGTTCCTGTGTTCCTTTTGGGATCATTTCATATCAGGAAATAGGATTAATGTCCCCTAAGGCAGTTCCATCTGGGCCCCATTATATAAATCCTGTGGTCACTTAGAAAGGGTGAGCCTGGGTTAGCCTGGGTGGCAGTAGTGGTGTAGAAGAGGACAATGAAAGAATTGGCATGATGACACGCTGAGAGTGAGCAGCTGCACCCTGTAATACCCAAGGCCTCTCTTGGGCTCCTCCTGCACCAGACTTCTTTCGCATTTGAGGCCTGTCCTCAAGCTTTGCCCCTTGTGTCTAGGAAATTTATCTAAATTTCTGATTCAAGCATTTGTTTCTCAAGAAGTTTAAATTTGAGGTTTTTTCCTAGGTTAGTCATAGTTTTTTTTATTAGTATATATTTGTTATAAAATTGTACATGCTATGATTTTTTTTTGTTTTTGTCTTTATTTTTGGAACCGGGGATCGAACTCAGGACCTTGTGCTCATGAGGCAGGCGGCAGAACCATTGAGCTAAATCCCGGGCCCATGCTATGATTTTTAAATGCTGGCACCATTATTTGAAAATTTGCTTATTTAAATTAACATGAATAATGAAGTCATATGTTTGCTTGACTTCATAGTTTTGATGTCAAAATTTACAAAGCATTAATTTAAGGCAATACTAACTTGGGGAAAACTTATTCTCCTTCCTCCTTTATTTCTTGTGTGATCACAATATTGTGTGTAAATACTAAGTTTTCTGTGAGGCTCCCATCTTGGACTCTTCTGGGCATAGGAACAAAAGTCCAAAAATGCTTTCTTCGCCATATCATTCCTACTGGTATGATGATTGTTATAAAATAAATTCAATTCTAATAATTAAGTAATGCATTTGATATTTTTTCTAGAATTCAGATATCAACATTTAGGAAGCAATGGTTTAGTAAGAGTTAGAGATGGTCTTTTTTCTCTTTTCTTCTTCGCTGTGACACTAATGCTCTGGAATACTTTGTAGCTGTGGCCATAGCGAACAAGGCTTTTTAACCATAGAACCAGAACAAGACTAGCTTTTGCAGAGTGACAGGGAGATTGCATCTATGAAATGAAGACTATTTCTGGGTAAAATGAGAAGGATTCTAGATCAGGATCAATCCCAAAGCATGCTAAAGTCATTGATTTTTGTATGGAAGAAAAGACTATGACAATAGTCATTTTTAGCAATAGGATTTCCAGTTGGCACATCCTTATACCTAAGTGAACATATACACATATATAGAGCACATTTATGAAACAAAACTCCTCTCTGACCATGGAATCATAATTTGCTACCTCCTCCCTCCATTCTCAGGCAGAACCTCACTTCCCTATTTGCATTACTGCTCTCCTTTTAAGGGATTCAAATCTTGGACTGGTAGCAATTTTCATGACTTTTATATCACCTCCAATAGGCACATCTACTTCTAGAAACTGCATACCTGATGGTTTGTTCTGTCCACTGTGTTGGCGGTGGAGGGGTGGTCTCTAGTGTTCTGACGAATTCGAGTGGAGTTTTGTTGCTCAATCGTGGAGGAGGTTGGGATACAGAATTCTCTGAAGCATCGTTTGAAGTTTTCATCCAGAAACGCATACAGGACTGGGTTCAGGCAGCTGTTTGTGTAACCTAGAGCAATGCAGAAGTGCCATGAAACTGTTTGGAAAGTAGTTTCTGGGATAGTGATCAAGGCTTTAATAATGACATAAATGTGAATGGGAGTCCAGCAGACAATGAATACAGCCACAACCACCAGCACCATCCTGGTGATCCTCCGCAGGTTCCTATCCTTTTCTTTGGAGCCTGACAGCATGCGGACACTCTTGAGGCGTAAGATCATCAGTCCATAACACACTGTAATTATGAGGACAGGCATGATGAAGGCAAAGATGAAGACACAGATCTTCAGTAGGTTCTCCCAGTACCAGGTTGGGTGAGAGAATGTTAGCGTACAATCTATGGAGCCTAGAAGAAAAGAATTTTAAAGAAAAATTAGCAACAACATTTTATTATATTAAGTATTAATGTTGCAATTTTGTTACTAATTTATAGCTTTGACCAAGATTAAGTTAAAGTTATTACTACCCATACCATTAGGGAAATTTTTAAAAATATTATGAAAGAAACTAAACTTTATTGATTTTCAGAGAAATTTACTTTTAAAAATTTTCCCGTAAATTTTCCATTTTGCTGTTTACTTTGACCACATCAAGCTCTTTTCAGTGAACAATTATGGATTTCTCACATAAACTAGACACTTTGTGGAATTTATATTAATATAAAATATAACCGTTGTCCAAAATCTCTAGGAGTTTCCAGCTAATGCATGGCTTTACTTTTGAGTGGGTAGTTCATTATTCTGCTATTAAGTCTAAAAAGATCAATTTGTCCTGCAGTATGCACTTGATATATTTTTTTAAAAAAACCTAAATTTAATATTCTCTGTGTTGAAGTGCAATTACTTTTAAGAGTTATTTTTATATTTAATCATCATTTCGATGTAGTACATATAGAAAAACAATCAGGAAAAAATGCTTTATATTCTCTTTAAAATGTTTAGTGGACTTCAACTTATAGAAAAACCTCCTATTTCAAAATCTCCAAAGGCTTTTTTTTTTTTTAAAGAGATTATAATCTGATGAAGATAGTGGACTACCCCATAAATTCTACTTGTCTCACAACATCAACAGTATATCAAGTCCTAAACCATACATCCCTCAAGCTCGCAACATCACTTACCATGTCTGTATTTTGTTGTTGCCATGAACATTACAGGCAGACCAATGGCAGAAGACAGGATCCAGTTGCAGACATTGACAATTTTGGCATTTCGGGGAGTACGGAAATCCAGGGCCTTGACAGGGTGGCAGACTGCAATATAACGATCCACACTCATGGTGCAGAGGGTGAATATGCTGGTGAACATGTTGTAGTAATCTATAGAGATCACAATCTTGCAAAGGATGGTTCCAAAAGGCCATGTTCCCATTAGGTAATTTACACTCTGGAAGGGCAGAGTACTGGTAGCTAAGGCATCTGCCAGAGCAAGATTGAAAATGTAGATATTGGTGGCAGTCTTCATTTTGGTGTATCTATGGGTGGATGAAGAACAGTGACAGAGTCAGTAAAGGCATTGACCTGAAATAAAAGTAAGCTTTCAATGAGAAAATTCTGTGAATTAATGAGAAAAAATTGAGATTAGATACAGAATCCTTTTAAAGTATTAGCTTGGCTAATTTATAACCATATGACTATGGGTTAAATATATAATATCTCTATTTATCAGTTTTCTTACATGTAAAATCTTGATTTACTGAGGATTTTCTTTTTGTTTTAAATATCCCACGTGACAGGTATAATTGACACCAAGAGTTTCCCATCAAGTAGTAGAGGAAAAGAGGGGGTAATAATTCTAAATATATAAGAGAACATTTTAGGTACTTCATGTAGATCTAGTCATCATTACTGGACACTATATAATGCAAATATATATATACACATACATATATATGCATACATTTACACACAAATACACATACAAACGCACAGACCATGATGGGGGCCTAGGTGAAGCATGTAAAAGAGCATTGGCAAAGGAAACAAGAGGAATGGGATCACATGATGGGATTCTAGACATGCACATGCCCAAGTATAAATTTAAAGGATAAGTAGGAATATGAGATGAACAGTTGAGATGGAGCCAGTGATTTCAAGTAGAGAGAGAATAATAAGAAACCCAATAAAAGGATAAAGTTGAGTGGCATGCTGTGTGTGTTTGGCACTGCTGAAGGGTAAAATTCTACCAGGCAATGGCAGTAGGTTTCAAGGGGAAGGAATATACTGGACAGACCATGGAGAGATATGTACGTCAGGGTAAGAAGATTAGACTTTATCCAGTAGATGACGACAAAACTAAGTTAGTTTGTTTTGTTCTCAGTTTTAATAGCTTTATTGAGTTGTAACTGACATACAATAAGGGAGACACAAAAAGTATACAATTTGATAAATTTTGACATATGTATATACCTGTGAAACCACCATAATGAAGATCAGAGATTGTTGAACTATGGTCTGTTGACTCAATTGGGCTGCTGCACAGTTTTGTATGTTGCCCATTGGAACACAACCATACCTATATACTATTTGAAGTTTTTGTTGTTGTGGTGGTTGTTGGTGTTATATTTTTCAGTGCTGAGGATTGACCTCAGGGCCTCACACATCCTAGTTAGGCAAACACTTTACCACAGAGCTATAGCCCCACCTCACATCATTTTATCTGTAGCTATTTTGATGCTACAATGGCAAGTTTGAGTAGTGATAAGGGTAATCATCTAGCCTACAAAGTGTATCTTTACCATCTTGTCCTTTGCAGAAAAACAAATGCCCACCTCATCAAATTAATTAATGTATCAGTCACCTGGAAAAGTTTCTTCATGAAATTTTTAATCTTTTCCTCTTGCTTCTCCTTTCATCCAACCTAATTTCACTGTTTCCAAGGAAATCACTGATCTTGGTGTACTTTCGGTAATTATAGATTGGTTTGCATTTTCTAGAATTTTATGCAAAAAAGTAAATCATTCCGTATGTGCCCTTTTTTTTTGTCTAGCTTTTTTCACTTAGAGTAGTTATTTTGAAGTTCATGCATGCTGTTGCACACATCAATAATTCATTCTTCTGATTTCCAAGGAGTACTCCATTGCATGGTTACACCATGACTTCTTTATCCACTCATCTATTACTGGAACTGAGCTGCATACAGCTTTGGCTATCAAACCTTGACTGTTATGAAATCTGTATATAGACATATGCTTTGCTCTTCCTAAGTATCTAGAAGCTCTGTCTTCAAGGCCTGCAGAAAGTAGAACTACCAAGTGAGAGATAAGCAGCTACATTTACAATAAGAAATTCTATCTGAGCTGGAAATATATCTTGAAAATATCGAGCATCTATTTACCCTAATTTAATACTAGTACCTCAGGACTCTGGGGAACCATTCATTTCTCATTTTTCAGTCTAATACTGAAGGCTTCTATTATGTGTTCAGGCCATGAAGCTGTCAGTGCTTGGGGCTGGAGGAAATGGTCAGAATGATGTTAATTTTTTAACTCAGTATGAGAGGAATTCTTCAGGGAAGGATGACTGAACCTGGCCAGTGTCTTTCAGCTTCCTCTGGTCATGTGATATTTCCCTCTGGCATGAACTCCCATCATAATGCCATTTTCCATCATGTGAGAGACTCCCATCAGAGCAGGTGCCATACTGATTGGAATTTAAGCCTCCAACATTGTGGGCTAAGTAAACCTATTTTTTATACACTACGCAGCTTCAATTATTTAGTCACAGTAATAGAAAGCAGATAACACAAAGTCAGTGAAATTTTTTTTCAGGGGGTAGATATCTGGAGAAAATGTATATTAGTTTTCCTATGGATCCAAAATCTGAGAGAATGTATGATGTATAGCTGCTGAAAAAGCCTCTATGAATTATACATTTTGATCCTTATTTACACTTTTAGTTTCTCACACCAGAGAAACAATTTGGTATTTACACATGTGTGTCCTATTTCTTTCACTTAAGAGTATCACCTCAATGTGCACCATTTAGCTATAAGTGTCTCTAGTTTTTCATTCTTTAAGGTCTAAAAGGGTAGGGGAAGTGGGAGGGGTAGGGAAGAGTAAAGAAGGGAAAGGAAAAAAATATGAGAAAAGGGAAAAAAATGGAAACAAATACTTTGTAAAGAGGGAGGAGTGGAGGAGTTGAAGGGAGGGCAGGGGAATGGGGAAAAAATAAGAACCAAGATATATCACATAAAGGTACAAGTTCCTAGTGATGAATGTAACTGTATTGTATACCTAAAATGTACCAATAAACTTAATGAAAAAAAAGGTTCTATGAAAATGGACCCAATCTAGAGGATAAGGATTTGAAAGAGTAAGAGTGATACCATACTTGAAACCAGGTCTTCCTTGGACTTTTTATTTACAGGGTACAATAACATCATTTTAAACTTCAGCTTGTGTTTACTATATTTCAGTTATACAAGGTTAAGAGTCTAATTCATTCAGTCAAGATGGTTGGAAGAAATAGTATCATAGACCCACTGGTTTAGGATCTTAATTTGGTGTTCAGGAGAGTGTTTTTCTTTCCATAAATATTTAAGAAACTGAAATCAAAATGGAGGATTTCATGAAACTTCTCAGGGAAAAACAGTTGTAATTATTTCTTGAGCTGTAAAATACTCATAGGTGGGCTGGTCGGTAATAGTTACAGAAGTTGTGTTACTGTCAGAAAGTCTTCCCTCTTTTAGATGTAGGTTTTTTTTAAGGAATTGCTTTAGAGGTTTTACTTCCTTAAAGGATTTTTTTTAGAGAAAGCAATTTATTTTGAGGAGATGAATCATTGTAATTTCAATAAGGACTACAAACATGGAAAACCTAAAAAGAAAATTTAGACAAGATTCTCCAAAGTAAAAAAATCAAAGAAAATAAAAATTGCAGGTGTGATCTTAAGCATTTAATATCACTGATCTTTTTTTTCTTAGATTATTTTATTGATACAATTTGGGTATACAATACATTTACATTTATCACGGGGTACTTGTACCTTTACATGATATATCTTGTTTCTTATTTTTTCCCCATTTTCTGTCCTTCCTTCACCCCCTCCACTCTTCCCTATTTACAAAGACTTTGTTTCAGTTTGTAATAGTGAAAGCTTGGAAACAGCCCAAGTACCCATCAACTGGAAGCTGGGTAAAGAAGATGTATGTTTTTTTTTTTAATAAAATGGAGTACTACTCAGCCATAAAGAATGAGAAACTAGAGACATTTATAGTTAAATGGATACATATTGGGGCCATACTCTTAAGTGAAATAAATATCACTGATCTTGATGATGTTCAAGAAATTTAAATATTTTTGATGCTTTTTATAAGCAGAAACTTCTTTCCAAAACCAGAAAAATAACTTTTGCTAGATATACCACTGGGTATAGACCTGTAGAATCTAAAGCCATGCTTGAATGCATTAGTCACATCCTGTCTAGAAGACCTTATGCTTCACACCGTATCTTTAACAGAGTGCTTTATGTTAAATACTCAGGTTCTTTGAGGTCAGTTTTCTTATTCATCATACTTCCAACCTTTTCTTCAAGTTAGATAAGCTCTAAATATTTACAGTGTAGGTTTATTTCAAGTTTTAAAAAGTCATTTTCTCTGTTGGAATGAGGTGTTTGTAAAACAAAATTAGGTTGTGATCCATCTTGAAAAGGAAAAGTGAGGTAAGTCATGTTAATTAGTTTAATTTAGCCATTCCACAAAGCATGTGTATTTCAAATTATTACATTGTATTTGATTTACATAATTTTATCTATCAATTAAGAATAAATTAATAAAATATAAGTATCTATAAAATCTATTTCCATGAGCATTTCACAGGAACAAGACTGGTTAGTTTTTCTCAAGTTATCCACAAAGCCTGTCTCTAAAGACAGCTGGCATTCTGATTCCAAATAGTCATGCTTTGAGTCACAGCAACATGTAAGAGGCTTCAGTAATTTTCTAAATACATTGAAGAGAATTTTACAAGACTCAAGGTGTGGGAATTCCAATTGCCTTCAGCATACACTAAAAGGCTTTAATCTGAAGAGATGGTCTGATCAGAAAGGGGTAATTTTATTCAGCAGGTGCAAGCTTTCCCTCTGTTCTATTCTGTGGTGGTATGATTGCCACCCCAGGAAGACTGAATGGATGATCTGATACACTATAAACCACGTATGGGAATACACAAACCAGGGAGAGCAAGTGAGCCAAACAAGTGAACTGAAGGGAGAGTCATCTTTGCTCTTCAGTTTCCTTCAGTGGATTTGAGTAGAACTTCTGGATATTAAAAAAACAGTCCTTTCCCATCTTTGACCCTATTGCATGTTACTGTGACATGATTGTCTTTAGTGGCTAAATAGCTAAAATGAGCTGGCTGGAATGTATGTCATGTCTTCAGAGTCTCATCTGAGGGCCTTTCTGGTATTAATTGTATCTAAGGTACCCCCTGACCTGGATCATCTCTTCTCAGCAATGGCCTCAGCTATATTTTTC